GCAGCTGTGGAATGCCTTATGCTGTGATCACCTGACACTCTACCTGAGGACTTCCTCTTGTCCTATGCATGGGACCCACAAAAAATAGAAAGTGTAGCAGCATTAGACTTCCTCTTGTCCCGTGCATGGGACCCACAAAAAATAGAAAGTGTAGCAGCATTAATGCCTCCAGGGTAACTGGCAGCCAATAATGGATGAGAGCTGGAGAATAACCATCCCAGCTTCTGACAGGTTTCCCACACTCCCTTCCACAGTTTTCCAGAGGTATTGAGTGGCTGTGTAACCTATTTATTGGCTTCCTTCCTTTCTGCTCTCAACTCCTCATGTCCCTATGATACCATCTAGGATCACTTCACCAATAAAGCATCCCAATGCATACTGCTTTGAAATGATGGGCTAAAAGAAAGACCACCATTTTGTGGAGTTTACAATCTAGCATGAACACTGGAAATTATTATATTATATATTATATAATGTATAGAATATTACTATTCTCTTCAACACTACATAGGGCCTGGAGTTAAAGGGAGAAAACCGGGCTGGAGATATAAAATTATAATATATATACATATTTTCTCCATATTGACTTTCATTTTCTTTTCCTTTTTGGGGAGAGTAAGGGTGGGGAAGGGTAATATTACAATAGTATTAAATAAAATACTTTGGTATTTCGAGCTGTCTTTTAATACGTTGGAGACTTTTTAATGCCATACTGTTCTCTTCAAAGTCAGAATTCTCATAATAAGTTCTCAGGGAAGCATGTAAGAAAAAACATAATTTGTTCAGCGGGAGGATAATCCTTCTTATTCACACTCTGATTCGATGAAAGCTACATTGGCACGGAATCTCATCACATTGATAGTTCCAAAGACAGAGAAGCACTTGGAGTGATTGTGTTTCTGCACAAACTCACAGCTGACATTAAGATTAAAATGCTGCCTGGTCCTCCAACATGTAGAAAACAGAAATTGGGCAGTTGCACCAAATAACAGCTGTATTTTATTGAAGTAACAGACTCTCAAAGTCCAGGTCTGCTGTTTAAAAGTTTACAATTGGATGTTTTATACAGGTTTTCAAAACCCTGTATGGGTTCAAAAACCCATTGTATGTGATTTATACAGTGCTATTTTGCTATTTTCAAATCTATGTAAATACAGTGGTGGGTGTAATAAACTCTTAATACATAATTTAAACCATTTTGTGCTCCTTTGAGCTAAGTGTATTAAAAGATGAAATGTGCACATAATTGTGTTTGCAAGAAGGGTGTTTTTAAGTAAAGAAACATTGACTAAAGGGATAATTTTGCAATTGGGAGATAAATATTTCTAATATATTTTCTTCCACTGAAAATAAAAGATTATATGGCAGCACAAAATTGATATGTAAGTTGTTTTGAACTAATAAGTGGTTTCTTTAGATAAAGGAACATTGTTTTAGAGCAAGAGTGTGTTTTTTCTTTCTTGTTTTATTTTTCTCTCACCTAGGTACTTCTCAGAATAATGCTGTTAAGTGCATGAACTAAAACACGTTGAATTACAAAGGATACAAAGAAAGCAAATTATTCTGAAATACGATTATCAAAACATTAATAAAACATATTTGTGACACAGCAATATATGCACTTTAATAACATATTTAATAACACGACCTAGCAGTGGTTCTAACAATGACCATAATTTCAAAATAAAGATGAACACTATTTCAAGATATCTGCAAAATGTGTAAGGTGAAACAAAATATCTGTAACTTCTCTTTGTGACAGAGTCATAGGTACTGCTAATACTATTGTGGTTTGCTGCCTACATTCTAATTCAAGGACAGGCTGAGAATAAAGATGTAATTTTGTATATTTTATCACTCAAATGCACAAACCCCCTAAGCTCCATCAGGAGCCACTTGAGAAGAATTCCTGTCTGGAAGTAACAATATGATACTGCTTGATACGCTAAAAGAGGCGTTAGGATCTGCTAACCCAAACTTGTTTTAACGAAGAAACGACTGGCAGTTTTCGATGTTGCCACAAAATAAGTTTTCATTATTCAACACTTAAGAGCTGTGGTAGCAGTTCAAATATCTACAGGACAGGCAAATTAATAAAATGGGTCAATAGGAGCACAGGAGTTGCGAAGAATATGGGAAACCAGAGAACTCAGGCTCTTTCTAAAGGAAATTCCATAAATTTGCCAGATAAAATGTCTTAAGGCCCAACTAGTTCAAGCGCCATCAATTTGTAACCTCTGAAAAGACAGTTTAAATATAAAAAATAGTTTTAAATATTTTATATATTTTGAAAGCTATTTGCAAGTATTGTCTTCTAGATTTACCACCTACCTATATTGCTACAGGTAAACAGATAATACAGGATAGGAAAATGGATGAAGAACAATCTATGTCACATGGCTAGTTAGAAAATCTAGGCATAAGAGCCAGTATTCCAGCTTCCTCTAAAGAATAAGCCATTGCTGAGACGTTGTGTTGGTGAGACATACTTAGGGAAAAAAGAGTCAAATTTAGCTCAGTGTATGAGCAAACAGTAAAACTTAACTTGCAAATGAATGCATTAGATAATAAGTTCCTGTGTGCTGAATTTTCTACTATATTTCTTGTGCTTAATTCTTGACTGATTATGTATTTCCGGTCTTCATAACAACTTTGCAAGGTAGGTGTTGGCATCAATATTAGATACTCACACTAGTATTAGACAAAAAGGAAGTTCGAGTAGGAAAGTCTCAGTGTCCATTGGCACCACATAGTCGAAACATTATCCTAACTATTCTCTCATGCATTCTTCCAAAACCAACGCCAAGACAGAAATAATCCTTTAATCAGAAGGTTACTATGTTCAGCTTTGTTGATTAAACATGTCAGAGAATCTTTCGATCTCTGCATCTCTGTTGACTTTAAGGATGTCAACTTGCACAGGTTTAATTTTACTCTATAAACTTTTTAAATTGATATTATATAATCCATACCTTATGGAAGACAGAAGCAAACCTATGGCAAAATTCAATTTTATTTAAAATGCTTTACCATTATTTATCTAGTTAACTGAAAATAAAATTAAAATAGATACATCTAAGCATCAATATCATTTAAGTAACTATTAAAATCTCCAATTCTTAATAATATACTATTTGAAAATGTGATGCTACTTTTACTCTTTTAAAAAAACAAATTTATACTGATGACACAGTTAATATAGCATTTTGAATTCTTTTTTCACGTCACATAGCTTTCCAAATTTTCCATCTCCAAATAATTAAAATTATTGGTATATATGTTCCATTGTAATTTAAATTCAAAATTTAATAATCTATGTTTTATTTGTGTTCTAAACTTTAGAAATGAGAGCAGAAAATAAGTTAATATTTACAAAGAAAATCCTGGAAAGTGCTAAATTTAAATGCTAAGCTTGTTTATGTCATTGCATGATAAAATTAACTTTTTTTGAAAAATTAGAAAAACAGTTTCTAATCTTTCACAAAAAGCATATATCACTGTCACCATAAAAATTAAGCTTATGTTTAAAAATCTGCTAGAATTTCCCACACACTTTCTTATTCTGTCTATAGAAAATTCATAGTTTTATTTCTTAAATGAAGAAAAATTAAGTAGGGCAATCAACCAGGGAGAAAGTAACTGAGATTTTATGTAACATGGTAAAGTAAAGCCTCTGTGACAAGGTGACATTGGAACAGGGACTGAAGGAAGCTATAGAGCCACACAGGAAGAAGGGTATTGGAAGAGGCATCCAGGTGAGGGCAGAATAGAAGTTGTCAGAAGGGCAGCACGCTTTCAAATATTTATCAACAGCTACTATGTATGCTCGTTACACTTTCTCACTGCTGTGAAAGTAGCAACTAAAACACACAGTTCCTACCGCCAAGGAGTTTTAACTTGAGCCAGGGGAGAAGTGTGAGAAACAGAAAAGAATTAGAAAACAATTCAAAGTAATTTCTCTCTCATAAAAAACCAATCTATACATATTTTTTAAAAGCACCATCTATTCCATTTAATCTAGGGTATTAAAAACAGATTTTTATATTACGAGATGATACTAAACCTTGCAATATCTATTCTCCTATAATTAAAAGCCATTGGTCATTTCCATTTAAGTCTTCTCTAATCACCCATGATGAAGAGTCTATGCTTTGTTTACAATTTTGTTTTTAAAACTAAATTACGTTTCCTTTCTTAGTAATGTAAAAACAGATTCTCTATCTGTAAATTAATTCTGACAAATCCTTTAGCAGACTTGAAAACATCAAAGTGACAAAGATGTAGGAGATTTCACATTTACAAAATGTTCTTTAGACCTCTTCAGATATTGTCATATCTCAAATTTTTTTAATGTATTCGTTCAATAAATACTTTGCTGTTTTGCATTATCATGCCATGGCATATCAGTTAACCCGATACCTCTTCATTACTGTGCCAACAATTTCAATCAGGTGCCAAATTTATTTCTGCTACAACTGAAGAGCTATCCTCTCATGACACATCTGTTAGATGGAATGTTTTTGATCAAAATGTGGAATATCATGTGGAGTGGAATAGTATATTAAATGAGCATTATATCCAATCAGCCCTAGAAATGACCATATAATTGTTAGAACAAAAAGAACTTAAGAGACTTAGTAGAAAGAAGACAGTAATTGTTAGATTGGCAAACAGTTGGAAACAGATGGAATCAACAGGTTAACAAGCATTTTGTACCAAAAAAAGGGATTCAGTTTAGTATCCCTTTAAGTGCAAACCAAGACACTCAGGTGTGCTGCTCCCAACACAAAATGATTGAGAACCAATGAAGAACCAACCATGTGTTAAGCTTTCTGAATAAAATTTGCACAGTGAAATTCTCTAAAGCTTCATCTATTCATTCAACAAATATTTAAATGTATAAAGTTAGGAAAGAAAATTATAAGCAGATTAAACATTATCTCTGCCCTCACAAGGCCTACAATCTAGTAAGGATATAAGCAAGTAAAAACATTATGAGAATGCTCAGTTCGGCAGCACTTATACTAAAATTGGAATGAAACAGAGAAGATTAGCATGGGCCTTGTGCAGGGATGGCATCCAAATTCATGAAGTGTTCCACATTTTTTAAAACTTGGCTCTCAAACAAAAGTATTATACAGGTGAAGATTAAAAGTGCTATAGTATATATACATATATAATACAGTATGCAAGATGCATTTTTATGCTGTTCACAAGAAAATCACTTTAATATAAATACATAGGTTAAAGATGAAATGATGAAAATAAATTTACCATCCAGATATTAATCAGAAAGTAAAATGTAGGGATGGCTATAATAAAAAAACAGGAAATAACAAGTATTGATGAGGATGTGGAGAAACTGGAACCCTCTTACGTTGCTGGAGAGACTGTAAAATGGTGCAGCTACTTTACAAAGCAGTTTCTCATAAAGTTAAATATAGTTACCATATGACCCAGTAATTGCATCCATAAGTATATACCAAAGAGAAATGGAAACATACATATGTGAAGTCCACAAGTGCGTTATTCATAATAACCAAAAAGTGGAAACAGCCCAAATGTCCATCAATTAATAAATGCACAAATCAATGTGGTGTATCCAAATGGCCCCCCAAATATGTCCAAGTCTTAACGCCTGGAACCTATGAATATGTTACCTAATGTGGCAAAGGGGACTTTCTAGATGTAAGTTAAGGATATTGAGATGGGGAAATTATCCTGAAAGGTCAGGGGGGCCCAATGTAATCACAAAGGTCCGTGAAATTGGAAGAAGTAGGCAAAGAATTAGTCGCAGTAATTCAATGTGAGAACTCTACCTGCTTTTGTTGGCTTTGAAGATGGAGGAAGAGGGCCATAAGCCAACGAATGTGGGCAGCCTCCAGAAGATGGGAAAAACAAGGAAATGGATGATGAATTTTCCCCTAGCCTCCAGAAATGAATGCAGCCCTGCCAACACCTTGATTTTAACCAAGTGAGACCTGTATTGGACTTCTAGTCCATAGAACTATAGGATATGTTGTTTCAAGCCACTACATTTGTGGTAATTTGTTATATAAGCACTAGAAAATAAATATATCATACAATGAAATATTATTCACCTACGAAAACAAATGAGTATTGATATACGCTACTACATGAATGAACCTTGACAACATCATGCTAAGTGAAAGAAGCCAGTCACAAAGACCGCATATTGTATGACTCCACTTATAGGAAATGTCTAGAATAAGCAAATTTATAAAAACAGAACGTAGATTAGAAAAGATGCTTAAAGCTGAGAGCGGGTAGAATGAGATTAACTGCTAATAGGTATGTGATTTCTTTTGGGGAACAAAGTGTTCTAAATTTAAGTAATGGTGATAGTTCCACAATTCCGTGAATATACTACAAAGCACTTTAAATGGGTGAGTTGTATGGTTTATGAATTATATCTCAATAATGCTGTTTGTAAAACAGAAAGTAAAAAGAAATTTGGGGTGACTATATTAATATCAGACAAAGTTGACTTCAGAACAAAAACATTACCAAAGATAGAGACATTACATCATAACAAATGGAGCAAATTACCAAGAAAACATAGCCATCCTAAATGGGTTTGCACTCAACAAGCGAGTTTCAAAATACATGAAACAAAAACTGATAGACAAATGAAAGGAAAAGCAGAAAAAATCAAAATAATAATTGAAGACTTAATTCCTCTATTTGATAGGTCTGTTTGCTGAAAAGACCTGGGAGGAATGAAACCCCAGTAGCAAAAAGCACACCTAGCATCCATATCTTGGTTTCTAAATACCATTTCCAATAAAAAGAACCAGTGCTCCCTGAAGAAATGACTGATTCCAGGGCTGGGACATGGAAAGTATAAGATGAACTTAAGAGAATTTTGTGCCAGACTGTAAGGAAGTATTGAAAGAATCATGGGGACATATCAAAACAACACTGGAGTCAGCTTGAAAGGACTACCACTAGCCACATCTGGGACAACTGAGCAAAAGAAATCATTATGGTAACTAATGATAACCCACAGAATAAAATAAGAATCTATAAGTCCATACTGATATAAATAAACGTAAGAAGACTAAACAAATAGAAGAGAAGGAAAAATCCTTTCTTAGAATAGAATTCCAATAATAAATACAAAAGTAATGAGAGAATTAGAAAATCACTATTTGTCAACCATTATAGTAATCATTTTTCAGGCAAGGACCATAAATAGATGCTAAAACTAGTGGGAAAAAGCCTAAAAGTATCTCATTACAAGATACTTATTAATTATAAAGAAGGAACTAATAGCTTTATAGTAAGAAAACTGCTAGCTGCCACCTTAACCAAGTGATCAAAGTTAATACCACCAGTAATTGGACAAACTGACATCATCACTGAGATACGATTCACTGAGAAGTATACTTCTGTGGTATTGACTGCCAAAATGCAAGACCTGAATTTAATCAAGAGGAAACATCAGACAAAGACATTGAGGAATTTTGTGCAAAATAATTGGCCTATACTCATGAAAAATGTCATTGACATAAATGACAAAGGACTGAGGAAATACCGCAGAAAAAGGAGACAAAAAGCTATGACAACTAATGTAATATGTTATGCCGGATTCAATACTTTACCAGCAAAAAAAGAAAAAAAGTTTTGATATAAAGGTCATTAATGAGACAAGAAAACTTGGATAAGGACCATAGATTGAAATATTGTGTTAACATTAATTTCCAGATTTTCATAATTGTCTGTGATCATGTAAGAAAACGTCCTTGTTTTTAACAAACATGTGCTGAAGTATTTAGAGATCATAAAAGTGCTGTGGACAGGGTGCTGCAGAAGCATATTTGAGGGACATCTAACCAAATTTGAGAGGGAGAGCCTTCAGTAAGAACTGATAACTAACGGCATTTTAATTTCCTGCTTCGATTATAACAAATTACCACAAACTTGGTGGCTCAAAACAACCCAAATTTATTATCTTAAGTATTGGAGATCAGAAGTCCAAAATAGGACTAAAATCAAGATGTCAAGATTGTGTTCCTTCCGGAGGCTTTACAGGAGAATCCATTTCCTCGCATTTCCAATTCCCGGTGATTGCCCACTCTCCTTGGCACTTTGCTCCAGACTTCCATTTTCAAAGCCCGCAATGGCTGGTTGAATCTTAAAGCTGTACCACTCGGACACTAACATATCTTTTGCCTCCCTCTTCCACTTTTAAGGATGCTTGTGATCACGCTGGTCTCTCCCCCCACCCCAACACCCGATAATCCAAGATAATCCCTATATTTAAAGACCAGATGATTAGCAGCCTTAATTCCATCTAGAATCTCAATTTTCCTTCGCCAGGAAACAACCTACTCACAGATTCCAGGGATTAGGATGTGGACATCTTTGATTGGCTATTATTCTGCCTACCACAAAAGAGCTTAGTTTTCCTTCTATATCAGGTATGAAACTGTTATTTATTGCAGAAAACCAATTCATGCTGGCATAGCAATTAAGGAAATTGTTTGGTTTATGTACCTGAAAAGTGCAGAAGAAAAACTGGATTTATCATAGGCTTGATATCTTCAAAGGACTAGTTTCTGTCAATCTCTCGGCTTGGCTTTTTTCAGCATTGATGTCATCCACCCTTATGATTTGATGATGATTATCAAAAGACGTCAGAGATAAAAATTTCTCCCTTCATATCAGCAACAGAGAGGATAGAAAAAAGAGAAAAAGGAATAGGAGGGATGGATTGAAGGCAATAACCGACAAACGTCCACTCTATCCTCGCATCCCCATTTAGTATCCAGAATTATAATCTTTTATTAATAGAGCTGTGAATAACCTAGACTATTCTAGAAGTGCTAAATTTTACCTAATAGCATCAAGTAAAGCAATGTGAAGTAAAGGAAATCGGTGGACACTAGGCTCATATTGCATGAGTTACTGAATCTTGAGGTAAAACGAACCAGGCATTGTTGTCTGCTCTGCACCAACATCCACTCAGTCTTCTATAGTCATTAGAAAACATGAAGTCTGGTTGGTTCTCAAATGCAGGAGAGAGAGAGATGGATAGTTTTGCTCAACATTATCAGATTTCTGCCTTATCTTTCATAGCAAATGTTTTTGCCTGCAGTAAATTTTCAATTTTAAATCTTTAATTTCTTTTTTACTTTCATATTAATGAAAAAGACTCATGAGCTACCTAGCTAGTTTTTTCTGCCCCACTTTATTTGCTTAAAATAAGAGACTTATAAGTAAAAGGCCTTCAGTGCCTCACATTTTTTGTTGAGCACCATTACACCCTACACCACTTTCCTTTTACAAAACCAAACTCCTCTCACAAGAGACTCAGTTTGAAAACAATCCAATTAACTAGCTTATAATAGGATCACAATTTTTCATGGCTGAAAAGTCAAGTTACATATAGAAGAACAAAATGGTCATTTAGATTCTTTATTACTTATATATGTATAAAGTTCATATATACGTATAAAAATTTCAGAGGGAAGTTTCTTTTTTTCTTCAAAGAGTAGCATGTTGCATTAGTTGTTTTCTTTGTTCTTCCTTTTAGCTTATAAAATCAACATTCAGTAAAATGACTTTTGTGTATATACAGTTTTATGAATTTTAATGTAGGCACATACTTGTAACTACCACCACTCTGAATATACAGAATAGTTCCAACACCCTCAAAACTCCCTGGCATCATTCCTTTGCAATTACATACTCCTCCCAACTTCTGGCAACCACTGGATCTACTCTCTATCACTATAGTTTTGTCATTTGGAAAATGTCACATAAATAGAATCACATAATATGCAACTGTATTAGATTCTGATTGGTATAACAACAGCAGACACTATAAAAATTACCACAAACTTCGGGGCTTAAAACAATGCAAATTTATTATCTTACATTTTGGGAAGTTAAAAGTCCAAATTCAGTCTCGGTGGGTTAAAATCAAGATGTTAGCAGAGCTGCGTTCCTTTTGGAGACACTAATGGAGAATCCATTCCTTTGCCTTTTCCAGTTTCTACAGGCTGTCCTCATTTCTTGGCCTGTGCCCAATATCAGATTGCTTTTTCTCCTTCTGCTTTTTCATCCTTACATCACCTTTTC